CTGACTTCCTGGAGTTACCTAGCAACCTCACAGTGATGACAAGTGTGCTAGCTGTTTCCTCCCTGCTCTCAGTCTTTATGTTGAGCTAAGCTAACTAGCTCCTGGCCGTAGCCTTGTACTTAACAGACAAACATGAGTGTGGTTTGAGTCTTTTCGTGTAACATAACATAGCAAAAAGTGATTAAGTATGTTTCACAAAATGTCCATTTTAGCTGCTAATTTTTATCAAAATATAATAAAAATCAGAGTGGTTAAAACTAAAATGAGCAGTTGAAGTGAAACCTTTATGAAGATATAGATTCTAGTGTCTGGTGTTCATAAAAACACTAAACATTTTAACAGCATTACTTCAGTGGTGAACAGGTAACATGACCCGTTACTATTCTAATAATATCCTTTAGGATGTTCATTCTCTTTCCCAGTCTTCTTCAATTACGCCTGTGTCTCCTTCAGTAGCTTTTAGCTTCTGGTGCTTTAGGTCTAGGCTAATGATTTTTAGTCATTGTTTTCGCCATTGATTCACTAATCAATGAGTTGAGGATCCTCCAAAGCTTCAAATGCCATTTCCATCCCCAACATGAGTCATTTATCTCAGGTCATCACAGATGAGCCGTGCAGAAGTGCCGAACAAAAGGAGCAGGGGGAGATTCCAGCAAAGAACATGAACATGACGTCACTCCAACGCCGCTATTTTTGCTAAATCTGTTGCCATTTTTGTATGTTTTTAACTCATCATCCGGTTTTTTATTTTCTTTCTTTCTTTTATTTCATTTTAAGTAGCTTTAATGTTGTTAAAAAAAATTTAAGATTTGTATTCTGCACTGTCTGTCTGACATATACTGTTTATTCTGGATCCTTTTGTTCCAGCTATTCATTAAAGATACACTGAGTGAAATATTCAAGCCAAGGACTCCTTTGTTTTTTATGACTACACCATTCAATCACATGGACATATAATAAATAATTGTGCTTAATTTCAGACACATTTTCCCAGAATTCATGACATGTTTGGTACACTTTGAAATTTGGACCAGTAGTACTTCAGTAAAAATTATTGCCAATTTATTGGTTAATTAATTGCCTAGCCTCTCAAATGTGAGGAAATTGTGAAAAATTCACAGAATCCAAGGTGACGTCCACAAACTACATGTTTAGTATGAGCAACAACCCAAATTGATTCACTAATCAATGAGTTGAGGATGCTCCAAAGTCTCAAATGCCTCTTCCCTCCCCAACATGAGTCATTTATCTCAGGTCATCACAGATGAGCCGTGCAGAAGTGCCAAACAAAAGGAGCGGGGAGATTTCAGCAAAGGATCAGATGTGTGACTAAACACAGAAATGTAAACATGTAAAAAATACAAATTATTCATAACATGAACTTTCCAAACCATTATCAATAGTTTGCAGGTTTGGGTTTGAGTAGCCTGTGTCAGTTACAGGTGTAATACATGGACTGACTGGGAAACAGATAGATAGATAGATAGATAGATAGATAGATAGATAGATAGATAGATAGATAGATAGATAGATAGATAGATAGATAGATAGATAGATAGATAGATAGATAGATAGATAGATAGATAGATAGATAGATAGATAGATAGATTATTCATCTCCAAAGGGAAATTCACACTGTTGAGAGAAGATAAGTAAATAAATAAATAAAAAAGAACTGAAATACACATCATATCAGTGAATACCACTGTATTAATGGATTGTCAACTGAAAATAAAATCACGATACTCAAACCTAAAACAGCCAGTCAGTTCAGTTCAGTTAAGTTGGGAAATTTGGCTTGCAGCAAGGCAAAAACAGACACATCAAAAGAGTCTCATCTATTTGTCTCATACAAAGAAATATCAGTTAGATATTAGAAATAAACACGTAATACTACTATTAGTATTACGTTCTAGTACTAGTACTAATGATAACATGAGAACCAGCAATATACTTGTGTGTAATCGTGATATCATCAAGCGATCATGACTGACTGTAGAAGGGAGCATCAGGAAGTTCTAGAGTTGATGGAGACATTTTTCTGGGACATCAGCTTTTTCAGCTCTATTGTGCAAATGAATACTTTGTTTTGGACACTACATTTGTTGAATCTCAGCTATCAGTGCATAATAACAATGTTTCATTTGGAAGTGAATGAGAAATGCATATCTCACTGACTGACCAACGTCACAATGTGCCCTGGAGCAAGGCACTGGACATCAGACTGCTGTAGTGAAGCTTCTCAGTGGACACTAGATGATGATGATGTTGGTTTTTCTCATCAGTTTCCAGGTGTGAATGAGCTGAAACTGTGAAACAGGGTGTGAAGAGGAATGATGCAAGAAAAAGGGATGGGTGCTCAGTTGACTCTCACAACATTCTAGCTGCTAAAATATCCACACACACACACACACACACACACACACACACACACACACACACATTCACAGACACTACTATGTGCACAATTCAATGCCTTCCGTCCTTGACAAAATGAAGGAATGTCAAAATACACCTTATCGGTTTTCCCCGCCTTTGAAAATCCTGGAGAGGATTACCATCAATATCACATGAAGAAGGTAATCAGCCGAGTCTGACTACCTTTCTCTCTTCAGTCCTGCGTCTCCTGCAGCTCTGGCGTCATCTATGAGACCAATCACATTGTAAATGCACATAATCAAAGAGCTAAACAAGGTGATTCTCTATCACAGGGCCCTCCTCAATCTCTAATCTTTGATTTTCTTTCCTCACTAAGTGCATGTTGACAATGACAGAGGGAAAATGTCACTTGCTATCTGAATGGCGTTAAATGTAATAGGAAAACCCATCAACTCATCAAGTCAGGCACAGTTAAGGGTTGTAATCTTCTCCAATGACAGTGAATAATGACACAACTGTAGAAAAGTGTTTACATGAACTACTCATCCGTGTAAAGTATCAGTTTAAGCAAGCAAAGCTTTGATTGTATTTCATATGCTTAGTGCAACATAATGAGACAGTAATTCTATTTACATAAAAGCAAATTAGTCCTTAAAACAAGAAATGTGGAAGCAGTTCATTATGTAACACTTAGTGTTGTTTTTCCATGACAGAAAAATAGAGTGCTGGGGATCACAGGCAAAAGGATGACGTTAAAATAGTTTTATTTCCTCTGCCTTTGTCACAGTACAGCTCTCTTGACTCTTCTGCTGAAATAAAATAAGCCATTGGGATGCCCCCTGTCCAGTCTGCTGAAATGTGAATTTATCTATGTTTTGTTTAAGGTGCACTAAGGGCCTGATTACAGGGGCCAACCAGATTTGGAGCACCTGGGCCCAGAACTCCAACATTCGTAAGCCCCAGTGTTTAGAATGACTACTTCTCCTCCCCACCTCTATCTGCAACCTCCTTTTGTTTTTGCTCTTCACAATTCCTGACACTACATCCCATCCAAACCTACTTCTTAGTTTATTGCAATAAATCATTTCAGTTTGCTAGCTGTTTCCCATTTTCGCCATGGCCCTCAGGCTGGGTTATGACACTTATTTATATTTAATGTCTGTGTGGTTTTTTGTGTATTTGGAACTGATTATAAATATATATAATTATCATGATCACCTGGAGAAATTTGATTGAGGGGTTCAGCCTGGTGCCTGGAAGGTGGAATCGTGGTCATCAGGGAAATTATTCTCATCTTATCCTGTCTGCTATACTATTAAACTCCCTTTCTAATTCCATCCTTTTGGTTTTATGATACTGTAATTGGTTTGTTAAATGTAACATACATAACCTTTATGTTTATAATTGCAATGATTGAGCAGCCTAGAGATATAGCTGATGACGTGACCCCAGCCCTTAATCAGAGCCAATGAAATCCTCATGGGAAAAGAAAATATAATTTATAATTCTATATGGGGAGGCTTAAACAACCATTTGTGTATTCACCTGTATTGTATCCTAAATATAACACTGTGACATATCACAGGAGCAGTGTTTGGATGTGAGGTTACTGTAGTCATGAGCTGTGTTTTAGTGCCCTCTTGTGATTAATCCCAGAACATGAATGACGTCACTCCACCACTATGTTTGAAAAATCTATAGCCATTTTTGTATGTTTCTAACTCCTTATCATCCAGTTTTTAATTTTATTTCCCTATTTTGTATTATTTTGTTCCATCTATTCATTGAAGATACACTGAGTGAAATACTTAAACCAGAGATTCCATGTTTTTTTTTTATGACTGCACCATTCAATCACATAGGAATATACTACATACAGTATACGTGCATCAATTTCCCCAGAATTCATGAACAGTTTGGTACATTTAGAAATCTGGGACAATAGTACAATTAAAATGATTGCCAATTTATCAGTTAATTAATTGTCTAGCTTTTCAAATGCCAGAAAATAGTGGAAAATGCCCAAATTACAATCTCACAGAATCCAAGGTGATGTCTTCAAACTACATGTTTAGTATGAGCAAGAAAACCCAAAGCAATTCAATTTACAATGATATATTTGAGGAAGTAGAACCAGTTGAATGTTTACTTGATAAATTACTTACTTTGAGATCTCCACTAAAGAATTTAAACACAAGTTTTGTGGGATTAAACAGTTATAATTCTGAGTTTGCAGGGACTGACCCTGGGTCAGTGAGGTTAAAAGGTAAAAACGCTGCTGGTATTTAAACATCTCTCGAAATATTCCCTCATGACCTTTTCCAAACTCACTTTGTGCACTCACCAGTGCTGTAATTATAATAATATGTACATAACCCTTTCATGTGAGGACTGACTTGCTCTTGGGCTTTTTTGTGTATCTGTCTAATATTTGGGGGGAAATGGACAATAAAAATGGGACATGGGATGTTCATATAATAGCCAAATCACACCCCCATCACTGATATCCATCACATCCTTTTGAGCAATAATTAAAATGAAAACTTTACCCATAGGTAATTAATGAATGTATGGTGACTGTAACAGTACATCTTGTGGGGCTTTAACAGAAATAAAATGGCTTTTCAACACTGTAAATCTGTTTATTTCATTATTATTATCATCTTGATTTGATCGAGTCACTCACATTCTTTCAAAAGCAAATAAATACCACAAACAAAACCCATACACTTATTCAGAGCTTCATATAATACCATATACAACTATACACACGTGGATAAGTCCTCACACTGTAAATTATTTTCCATCAATAGGCTTTCTTGCTTTAGTTTCTTGTTCAGTTTGTCCATTCACATCCATCCACTTTTCATCCATGCTTCAGGTGTTACTCCAAAGGAAGGCCTTCTTGTCCAACACACTGGCCAGTTTGCGGTTGAGGGGTTGGTGAAATTTCCTGAGGAGGTTTCTGGTGGCTGGAAACATGGGACCCAGGTTCCTGTCTGCCGCTCGCCGGGTGTTAGACATGGGCCGCTTGGTCAGTGCTGATTCCACATGCTCTGACAAAGGACCTGCAGGGAGGTTGGGGAGCTTGATGTCAGAGTACTTATCAATACAGAATTAAAGGCTCAAGGCAGAAACAACCAGATAAATAAACGATATAAGTTATTTCCCCCTGATATTAAAAATACTTTGATATTTGAAGAGCATGTTACTGTGGCTTTTTGGATACGTACCTACACCCAAAAAGTCGAAAACTTTCTTGATTGTCACTTTAAGGTTGGCTGCGTAGTCCTCTAGTCGAAGAACTAGAATCTGCTCCCTATGGAAAACTGTCAGCCAGTCCAGTAAGAAGACGATGTACATCCCCAAATTTAGCCTCACCTGTGGGGAAAATCAAATAAAGTCAACATCACAAGACCTTTGTGCTGAGACTGTAAAAGTGAACTTAAAATCTCAACTGTTAATTAAACATGAACTTCTTTAAAGTATCCTATGGTGAGAATAACTTTAAATGATGAAGCTGGTGAAATTCTGTTTTTGTTTTTGACAACACATCCACTGAAAAGGCAAAAAAACAACAACAATGAACTGATTGTGCTAACAAGTATTTTCTGTGTATGCAGAGCCTGATATAGCTTGCACCCCTCTAACTCATCACTGTTGCACTGGGTGACATGTTCCTTCATTATGATGAACATGAGTCAACAGATACACCTGCTACCATAAATCCTCACAAACAGTTTCCAACAAATGTTTACTCCCGTTGAGTACCTGCTAAAAGCTACAGTGTTCAGCTTATTTATTAAATCATTCTAATGAAAGTAAATGTTTCTGAGCCATATTTAAAGATTTACATGTTCAACAAAAACAATGCTGTGAGCCTTTTCAGTGTAGTGCACAGGTGATGATACATAAATAAAGAGTGAGACAGGTTTTTTTTTCTTTGTTCAGATGCACAGACACAATGAGTCCTCAGGGGGGCACCACCATACAACAGCACCCACTAAAACTAAGCTAATATGCTGTGATTTCCAAGCAGAGCTAAAGCTGTAACAGACTTCGAAAGCACTCATCTTCCTCTCATCCATAAAAGAAGAGTCATATAAACAGAAAGAATACAGTGATGTTTTTCTGAATGTTTTTTGTTAGATGGATTCTGTTTCTGTTCCAGTGGTTTCAGGTCGAGCTGATTGCTGCTTTTTATTGTAGTAAATCTCCCAGGATAACAGTGCTGTCACCCATGTGTTGTGATTAGAGGTGACAACCGACAGAGCTCATAACTCAGCATGCTCCTGTGGGAGCGCTGGCTAATAGGATATATGCTGAAGGGTCTGAAGTGACTCTGGGCAACTAGTTGGTCATATTTTTCCCTGCACAGAACGAGACACACTTCAGTGTATTAATATCCATTTACAACCACCTGAAGGACAGGTAGTAATTCCCAAAGGAATTAGGTTTAGTCATTAAGTAGCATTAAATATAGTTGTAAAAGCTGTGATTGTTCTTAAGTCATCTAACATTCAGACAGTTAAAAGTGTGTACATCATTTCAGCTAACCGGCATGGTGTTGGAGAGGCTGGTGTTGTAGGCACAGGAACGAAGTGACCTTTCAGACAGGCAGGACTGAAACAATTGTACAGACTCTACAACCTTCTGATGAAAATCCTCTGCTGACTTGTTGGCCATCTTAAAGTACAGGTAATCAGAATAAAGCCTGGGAACAGATAGAAACAGTCAGGTGTAAGCCAGTTGGAACTATGAAGGGACATTTTTCTGGATTTACAAAAGAAGTTATGATTTAAAACAATGTTCTGCAACAATGACAAATTACAGGAAAAGCCCTCAGAAGTGATCCAAAGCAAACTGTTCCTCCACAGAAAATCACATCTGTATCTACGTACACGGGCAGATGGATTTCTCTACAATACCTCTCTACTGGATCTCTAAGCATGATGATGATTTTGGCACCGGGCTGGACTGTGTGGATGAAGTCCTGGGCCAGGAACGGGGGCTCTGTCTCCTCCATGTCTCCGTGAAGATAGCTCCAGGCTTGGTTGTCCCACATTGTGGATGCACTGGCTTCACCTGTCAAGACATTGACAGTCTTAGCATCACCTTGGGTAACAATAGTTCATTTTAAATGCAGTGAGGCTCAGGCATAATAATGTAGCTGAATTTTAGGCCAAAATATGCATCATTATCTTGGAACATTATGCCTTCATAACCTTCCCTGAACAGATCTGTGACAATGCAGTTGCAGCTTTTTAGATTTTAAAAATGATTTGTGTCTTTTATTATCAGTAACCATGCAAATTCCAAATAAAGCAGAATCTTACTGGCACATTTCATAGAAAAAAACCTACAAAACCAAGTTAATATTAAGGATTCCCTTCAAAAGATCAACACTACTTCACTCCAAAAAAGTAATTACTTTGATTTCTTGTTTACTGGGGGATGTTCTCCACTGTCTTTCAGGTCCAGGAGAGCAAAGTTTGAGTCACAATAATTTCTGTTCATAGCATGGAGAGTGAATAAAGGTGGTTGTGACAGCACCCAGGGGCGTTCGAGGTTTTGTTTACACCATGCTGCTCTCCTAGACCACAGAATATCTAGAATGATTCGAGTGCCACTGTAGGGCTCCTGAGGTCAGAGCCACTTGTGGAAAACCCACTAAAAATGAGCAAATTCCATGAATAAAGGAAAGAGAAGCAAAAGTAATGCTGAGTAACCTGTAATTTCAATCACGGTCCAGATCCAGTTGTTTCGCAGTTCAAGCTCCTCCGAAAACACTAAATGAAAACTATAAACGCAGGAGATTCTTCCATCTGATGCATAATGGACGCTAAGAATACCAAATCATACCCACCCACGCACACAAACACTTTCACATGTGTTCACCTGTTATAAGCTGGAGTGCGCTGTGGACTCCAGATGAATTTCCACTGATTTCTTCTTGGATGTTGTGGGCTGCTAAGTCAAACAGATCCAGGTAATCTTCCACAGGGAAACTTTCCTGGAAGCCATCTTTGAAACGGATATAACCTGCAACCCAAGGTACGCCAAAATAAGGCTTTTATACACTTCTCAGTATTTTGGTCAAGTCTGCACATACAAAGAATTTGAGACAAACAGGCAGACAACAGACACATAGTTCTTCTCTTTTTGCACTTTATGCTGTTAAAATAAAATACAGCACTTCCTGCAAGCAACTCACAGTAAAAACTCTTCAGTGAAGAGAATAAATGGAGCATTTTATTATGAAGCAGCAGCAGAAGGTCTTCAGTTATAATCAGTTAGTTTTGTAGCTTGCAGACTAGCAGTTTTTCTCAACATTTATACATTGCTAAATTGAAATTTAGAAGCATCCTAACAGGACAAAATCTGAACCAAATATGGACGTACAAATAAAATCAGTGACATGAAGTTTAAATGATGAACTGAATTAGGTGATTTCACATTTGCAAAGCCTAGAAGACAAGTTTAAATGGCAGACAGGAAGAAATGCTTAATCTGAGGACCTTGCACTGACTGTAGTCATACAATGATACTTGTTTTTTTGTTTACTATATACAATACTACTAATTAATTCATATTTATTTAACCTTTGAGGAGCCCTAGTCAAGGGTTAGGGTTAGGGTGATCAGTTTATGACTCACCAAAGCGTTTCCTGGTCCACCAGTGTGGCTCCTTCATCGTGTTGAACTTGATCTCTGGATGCAGCAGCAGCCTGTGGAACAAGTCAGTTGTGCCACACTTTGGTTGGCCGATGATGTAGAAGAACGGCAAGCAGCGTAGACGAAACAGTTTGCCGTCCTTGTGGTGTAAGTGCTGTTGAAAGTTGGTCCTCAGGCGGTCGCACACAGTCTTGAAGCTCTTTGAGCGCAGAGTAAAGAGGTTCCTCCTGTACAGATCAGTGCTGAGTTCAGGGTAGGACTCCTCATACCAGCAAGGGCTCTTAATGCCGGGCAGGAAATGGTGAGGAATTACAGAGAACAACTGCACAGAGGAACAAAATGACATTAGGAAATGAATAGGGTGGACAAAATAACAGAAATACTGTAAAATACAGTGTAGCCCCTTTGGAAAATCATGTGTAGAAGATATTATGTTCCACAGTGTACTCCTGTAGTATCTGAAAGGTCTTTCACAGAGAACAGCAACTATTTTCACCTTGAATCTATGTAATTTACCTTGTATGCCAGTGGTTATAAAAAGAACATCCATAATTTAGGGCCATATGACATGGTTTTGCAGCTTTGCAACTGACGCAGCGTCACCGTCAGTATTTGGTCATTTTGTACTGTTAGTTGAATTATAGAGTTAGATATTCATATGTCTGACACATGCCAATAATTGCTATTCAACTCACTACCGCTGTAAAATGTGATTTTAGCTGTTAAGAGTTGATGATGCTTTAGCCACAAACACCGCAAAATGATGTAGGGTAAGGTGGAAAAGTAAGATGAGAACATACACCAAACACAGTAGAATGACAGTACATTAGCAAATAGCAGTCAGTAGGCCCTTGGAAACACTTAGTGAGACATGTAACCTGATATTTACTTAACAGCCCTAGAAACTTTGGTTTTGAAAACACTATGTTGAATCAACACCTCTATCAGTCTCAACAAACACTGGTCATTATGAGCTTCACCAAACAGGCATTTACTGCAGTGATGATTATAAGGTGTATGTTAAATGTCAGTCTCCTACAATTCACTTTTGTCAACAATAAATGAAGCAATCATAGTGGTCACTTATTAAGATTTTCGTGTGTGGACTGAATTGTCATTTGCTAGCATATTTTTTTGTCATTGTTTGTCAACAGACTTACATGGGTGTCCGTCTCAATGACATCCTTTTTATCAGGCAGCTTCCTCGGTTTGTATTCCAGCTTGGAGCTGATGATCTTCACCAGCAGTTTCATGTCTATTAAATTCTTTTCAGAGGGAGCTTCAGCTGCTGTTGTGTTGGTCAGGATGACCACAGGTCTGAACTGATCAGGTGAAGGGGTGAACAAAAGTCCTTTCTTGTCCCACGTCAGGATGTAGGAGGCCATGATGAGGAACATCAGTGTCAAGCCCATCAGGAAGCTAACCACTTTGACTTTTGAGATGCTCCGCAGGTTTGTCAGTGTCAACAAGGGAACCCACTTGACATCCAGCTTGTCAGGCAAGTTTGTGTGCTTGAAATCAAAAAACGTCCTGACAGGCGTTTTCCCATAGTTCTCAGCCATGGGAAAGCTGGGGAGGATGTAACTGTGGTCCGTTTGGGTGTTTCTCCCATATTTGCAGTCTGATAGTGGCATGCTGACATAAAAGCAGAGTAGGCATGTAGAAAAAGGAGCCCAGAAATTATTCTTGCAAAGATTCACCTACAGGAGGTTGTGTGTACTGATGTGTCCATTCATCATTGTTTTTAATCTTCAGGTTATCGTTTGTCTTCATTTCTTACATGCTCCCCGGTCTTCAGCAGGGCCTTCTGTAAATCAGAAACAGTTGTTAAAACACAGCACGTAGCTTTTATATATGACTTCAGTTTTCTTTTCACCAAAAGTGCAGCAGCGTAGTTTCCTTTGAAGTATTTCAGTCATCTTCCATAATTCCAAAAAAAAGTTAGTGTGAGCATTTCTAATATTAGGGTATTTGAGGGAGCCTCTCTGGGGCATCAGTATGTTAATGTCAAATACTCCCTTCTATAGCACAAGTAACCTCTAAAATGTTCGAGGTCAGCTGCAGAGTGTGTGTGGTCTGCTGAGATGAAGAGCCTTGCTTTAGGATGAGGGCTGTATAGCACATGCAAAGACAAGCTCCACTAAGATACTTTCAAGGTCAGAATAATAGTTACTCTGTAATTCAAAACTAAAAACACACGATTATTCTCTGTGAGCTAGAAGCCCGCTGAGAGCTCTATTTTTTTAACCTGGAAATATAATTTTCAAGATCATGGTTTTTCAAAGAGAGAACCCAGTTAGGTATTGATACAGGTGGATACACTGTGTGGCAAGTGCAGACATTTTGTTTTTCTTTCCCTCCACATGAATAATAAGAAAGTAGGCATTATTATTTCAAGAGTCCAGTGCTAATAAATTCCAGACACCTTAGTGTAAAACACCTCTCTGACACTTCCTCAGCCTCTTTCTTTTTCTTTTGTTGCAGTTTGTTAAATTTAACAATCCCACTGGACCAGGGAATGAAATCCTGCCCCAGTTCTAGCGAAGTACAGCATTCTCTAACACAACATGGGCCTGTTAAAGCTCTGCCACAAAAACATGATGTGAATCTACATGTTCACGCCACTGAGGGTGCAAATTCAGAGTAAAATGAAGGGCGTCTCCACCTCAGTCCATGGAAGTAATTCAACCAGTTCCAGCAATAATATTTGATCACTGTCAGTAAATTATAAACTCCAACTAGCTCACAACCATTTACGCTTTGCACGGATAGTGCAGCCATCCACAGATGTGATTGGCAGGTTGCCATCATAACTGTGGGGCAAGTCTATCTTTTAGCCTACTGTAGCTGTTACTGATAGCAAAATCATAAATTATTTGACAATGCTGCAAACTATATACAAGCCTGAGGAGGTTTTCAGAAGTGATTGGTTGTGTTGAGAGAGAGTGGCTCTGGGATAGAAGAGAGAAAACTCAAATGTTCACCCCCTAAGTCAGGCTTTTTTGACATCATCAAAGTGTAATTGCATGAGTGCAATAGTACAATGAGGAGGGGACAACATTTTTATTTTGTTGCTAAATTAGATTTCCTCTACTCTTCAGTTTATTCATCATGAGGATTTCTACTCAGCCTGTACAAGCAGTTGAATTGTGTCTTCTGCATCTCTGGAGTAGGATACTCAACTACCACACAGCTTGCTTGTGACCTATGCACATGTAAATTTGTTCTCCCCAGCTTCTTCCATTTGTCGTTTTTTATGCTTACAGCCTTTCCTTCATCGTTTTAATGTTGCAACAATACTTTTAATTGTGTCTGCATCAGTGCAGACTTGCTGAATGTGTGCACAGAGGGCCTGAAAAGTCCACAAGTAAGCCCCCACACACTTGCAGATTTCATAATGGGAGAGCTCTGAGCAATTGCAGACTTTGAGGAATGCATGGCAATATCTGCAGGCCTGTGCGGGTTGACGCAGGGGTTACGCAAATAACTTATTTTTAATCCTTCTAGGGGTGATATGGGCCTTAATGAAATATCCATAGATGGAGGTGGGCTAAATACAAACTCTCACATCCACAGTAGTTAATAGTTTAAACCATACTAATCCAGATTCCTGCCTTACCTTTATATGTCCTACATTTCCATATTTTAATGCTGTTTTTATGCTTGTTAATGATGTGTAAAGCCCTTTCTAGCTGTGTTTTGAAAAGTATGATATCCATAAATGATATGGTTCTCTGAATCTCATTTTCTTCATGCCTCTGTCTATCTTTAATTCTACAAATCCAGGTAATTGTTATCCTCTTTGTTCTCTGTAACTATTAATCTATTATTCTCATTAAAGATTAATGTCTAGTTCAAGCAAAAATTCAAAGTGTGAGAGAAGAGAGAGATTTGGAAATGTGACAGAGCATAAAGAGGTCAGTGAGAGTCAAGGGTAAAGCATGGAGTGGGGAAATGAAGCCGCAGAGATGAGAAAAACTGTGTGAGAAAGAACAGGAAAGACAGCCTTTAGACCTCTCTGGTCTGTAAATCGATCTGGGGCGGAAAGCAAACAGCAGGTAGGATTGACTGAGGTGAAACCCCATCATCAAAATCTTGCTGACTCAAAATAAAAACCTGCATTCATCATTGCATTTGATGCCTTTGTTGTCCAAAGCACAAAATGTCAAGACGGATTTGGTATCAAAGCCAGAACGGGATATTACTCATGATGGTGCAATGTGTTGGGTTGTAGGTTGTGAATCTGTCAGATTCTCTGAAATCTTGCAGACTCAAGGCTATACAACGACAACACAGTACCACCTACAAGATTTTTTTTTATTGTGTTTTTTTGAAGTGAAGTCTCGAATTTGCAGAAATAAGTGGAATTTTGGAAGTGCAGTTCAAACATCAATCAAGTGGTTTTGTGAAATGATAAAGATAAGAGATGGTATTCCCTGTATTTCTGTTAACGTAATAACTATTCTCATAAGAAACCAGTGTCTAATCTGTTTAACCTTTATTTGGGTTTGTGCAGATTGTGTACTAGTTCATTGTGCAAATAAGAGTGAGCAATGAAAAGTGGTGCTTCGAGCTAATACTAACATCATGATCCTAATATGCTAACACATGGCAATGCTAACATGCTAATGCTAAGCAATTATAATGTTTACCATGTTCACATCAAAGTTTAGTAGGTTAGCATGCTAACATATACTAATTAGCACTAAACACAAAGTCTAGCTGATGCTGATGGGAATGTCTTTAGTTTTCTGGCACTGAAACTAAATAAACTAAAGTACATGTATTGGAGAAATAATTTTTTTTAACTTGAATTAGTAGCCAGAATATCACCAACATCATTACCAATTATTCAGAGGAAGACATGAATGTGTGTACCAAATTACACGGTAATCCATGCAATCGTTGTTGAGATATTTCACAAAGTTCAAGTTAAGTTCAAAAGCTTCATCCTCTAGACACCATGACTGTCTCCACAAAACTGCTTGACAATCCATTATAAAGTTGATGAGATATATCAGTTTGGAACGACAGTGGAACGACCGAGAGACAGTGACATCCATAGAGCTTCACCGCAAGCATGGCTAAAAACCCACACAAATATTCTCATATACACACACACTTCTTGTCACCTCTACGATGATTTCAAATCCCACATCACACCCCATATCTAAACAACTGCTAGCTGGATGTTTTGATAGCTCGGATACTGACGCTCCCCAGACAATTAATCCTAATCGGTTTGCTGAGCCACTGACCTTTCCATTAGGGCGACTCTGACCAAAATTTCCCACTTGTAGAAAATAAATTTCAAACTTAAATGGGCAGATTGCCATGGAATTTAGAGAGCACAGCGATGCTCCCACAGGATGAACTTTTTTTCCATTTTGGACAGTGAGTATTCCTCTTTCCCCATCCTCAGGTCAGAATATCAACTTGGCACAAAATATCCTATGAAATAATGTGCTGACGGCCATGAAATTTGTTGAATCTATTCAGGCTGGGTGGCTGAAATCATTTGAATTTATTAACCCAAAGCGTTTTATTTCTAACACTTGAGGTCAAGAAGAGCTGCTATTTCTTATATTTCAATTATACACACAGGTCTCTTTTCTAGATAATTAATAAGCTTATAAACTCCTCTCCTGTTGGCACATACTGTCAGATCATGACTGTTATTTGTTTTTTCCAACACAACCAACTAAATCCAATTGGAAATTATACCCTGTGTTGTAATCAGTGTTTTGAAAACCCAGCCTCTTCAGTCATCTTCAAATTAACGCTAACTTCTTAATCTTTGTCCTGTCTTTATCCAATCTTTTTAACATTATTTATCATACAGATGTCATCAAACCTACTGGATAAAGTACAAGCTTTGGTCACAGGTTAATGGGTTTATCAAGTGCAGCTAAAATATTTTGTTTATGTAAAACCTCTTCTTTACATTTGTGGAAGTTACTAATGATTATTCATTCACTCAAATTCATGTAAGACATGATGAATGAAAGATTGGATGAATAAATAAATTTTCCATACCATTATAAAGGTCAACCCAACACAACACACAATAATACACTTTTGGCTTGTTTCATATTATTCGGATGCAATTATTCTGAAGAGGCTGTACTTAGGCACAGAGCTAAATGCTAACGCCGGCATGTTTACATGCTCACAATAACAATGCTTGAATTTTTTAATTATGTAAATTTTGCCATGTTAATCAGAATCAGAATCAGACATACTTTAATAATCCCGTGGGGAAATTACTTGTAGGGGGGGAGGAAATGTGTTTGTCTGCATGCTAACATTTGCTAATTAGTGCTAAACACGAACTGCAGCTGAAGTGGGAGTTATCATTTGTTTTATTTTGGTAGGCTATTTTAAAAATGGAAATGTTGACCAGAAGGTAACAGGTGAAAGGTCAGGCAATCATATTTATGACAATTCATCCTCTGGGGATCAGGCATGTCTGTAGCAAATTTCCCAGTAAACCCATTCAGTAGTTGTTGAGATATTTCTCTCTGAACCACGGATGTCAACCACACTGGTTGAGGCTATGTCTGGTGTTTTGCCACTGTCGTTTTTTTTTTGTTTTGTTTTGTTTTGTTTTTTAAACGCATTTTATTGTTTTTAAGCACAGATAATACAAAACACAGAAACAAGACCCCCCACCCTGACCCATTAGACGCACATGCTATACAGAGTTAGAAAAAAAAAGGTGAAAATAGTCATAATGACCAAGACAATAATAATAATAATGACATATGATGAAAAAGTACAGTTCTAGTTTGTTTCCAGTCCGCAGTA